CCGTCAGACACAGTCAGACATGGTCAGTCACACATGACACGGTCAGTAGCTCATGTGAGGCTTTATCCTCTGAGAAACAAGCGAGACACACACACACACACACACACACACACAGAGCAGAAGCGTGAGCCATGCAGCAAGCGTGTGCACGTTCTCCACAGCCAGGCGCGTGCAGGAGCGCGTGTGAAGCAGTGGCGGCCGCCCTCACTAAGGAGCCAGCCTGTCCCGTGCGGTGCTGGGAGCAGACCCCAAAGACGCAGCGAGCCAGCGAGGGGCACGGGTCCAGGTGCCCGCTCAGCTGCGCTCACAGAGGCCGGCTCTGCTGCTTCGTTTCAAGTTTGCGGTCAGTCCGCACCAGGAGGTCGGCCACACGTTCTACGTGTCCAGCGCGCCTGAATGCCACTGCCACACGAGCAGGCTCGTTGCTTTCTCTGTAACTGCATGTTTGGTTTTGAATGTCATGCATTCACCTGGCTTAAGATTGTCAGGGAACATGGGCACAGACTTAGCCGTTGGGACAGCTATGAAGTGGCTCAGTGGTGACGGCTGATTTCAATTCGCGTCTAACAGTCTCAGACCTGCAGGTGCCTCGCAGCGGGGCCATTCCCCATGCCTCGCCCGCAGCTCCTAGCGCTGCGCGCACCATGACACCGGTGGCTCTGAGAACACAGGGCGGCCAATTCCCCACGTGACCGATGCCCACGGGAGGCGGAAGGTCACCCGAGACTCAGTGCCATGCAAACTACAGCAGAGTCCGTCCGACACCCGGGCATGCACGACTGCACACGTTAGAACGAGGATGCGTGTCGAGTGGTGTCATAAAAATGTCAAAACACAGAAAACATGGAAACTGAAACTGGCACTTCAGCCAGTGGGTTTTAGGCAACAGCCTCTACGGCCTCCGGTCAGTCAGCCGTTTCTCGCTGTTATCTTTCCTGCTGCTCCGACCTGAGGGCTGTTAGTGTCGACAGGTTATGGCAACTGCAGGAGGCAGTTTGTTAGCTCGACTTTCTAGGACGGACGGGTGAGTAGGGAGTGAGAAGGCACGTGCGTGCGCGCCCACATACGTGCCGCATCCCCCCGTCCTGGGTGTGTACCTCTGAATACAAGGGTTCGACAGCCGCCTGGCCTGCCGCATCTGGAACACAGTGCAAAGCTGGGGTTAGAGTCGACCTACCCAGGGAGGAGGAGCTGAGTCAGCGGACAGTCCGCGGCCCGCCACCAGCACAGACACGCCCTCCCGCTCTCCTCTCCCCACAGGCAGCACGCTCGCAGAACTCAGTGACCCTGGGAGGTCACAGGGACAGGCGGTGACCAAGCAACATCGGGAAAGGGACTCTGATCGTCCAGAAAGGACGGGGAGAAGGCGTGATTAAGAAGCAAGAAAGGTGGATTTGTATGGACTGGTCTGTGGTTACTAAAAGCAGGAAACCGGTAAAAGGCAACGTTACCGCCTGGCCAGCGTGGCTCAGTGGTTGAGCTACTGACCAGGTTCGATTCCTGGTCAGGGCATATGCCCAGGTTGCGGGCTCAATCCCCAGTGGGGGATTTGCAGGAGGCAGCCAATCCATGATTCTCTCTCATCATTGATGTTTCTATCTCTCTCTCCCTCTCCC